TGGCAGACCTGGGTGGGACCCCATCTAGGCCAAGTGATTTAAGTCAGCCAACAGGGTTGACCAGTACCATGGATCATGCCTCCCAATGGGGGGCCCTGAAAAGCCAGAAGTTTCTTTCTCTGGCTCTCTCCCAGGGACAACAGACAGATCAGCGCGGCTGTGCCATGGACTTTCTCTCTCTCTCTGGCTTGTGTTCCGTTTACTATGAATGCCTGAAACGGCTTCTATCTTGTCTAACGCTCACTGGGATCATGATCCAGGCTTCGGAGCGAATTCTTTCTTGCGAGAAACTAAGGTCCGAGGTATTTCTCCCTTGAGAGAGACCTAACAACTCTTGCCTGCAAAATTAAAACACACACACACACATCTATTCTTCTGGCACTTTCAATTCTAGAGAAAAACATGACAAACAACAACACGTGTAGAAAAATGTAGAACTGCAGCTTTGTGATGGAAACAACCTACATGTGTAGCAGTAAGAGATTTATTCAAAATTTGTGATGTACTCTAGTGACACAATGGGTTAACTGTTGGGCTGCTAATTGCAAGGTTGGAAGTTCGAATATACCAGTTGCTCTGGGGTGGGGTGGGTGGTGGGTGAGGGCGGTAAGGGTGTGAGGGAATCTGCTTTCATGAAGGTTTACAGCCTTGCAAGCCCCTTGGGGAAGTTCAACTCTGTCTCACAGGGTTGCTGTGACTATGATTTGGCTCCCTGGCAGTGGGTTTGTTTGGTTTTACTTTTTTTCCTAAACAACTGAATAGTATGAGACTGTGAAAATAAGGGAAGGATGTTATAATGTGCTAGTTCAAGTATATAGTTAAGACTGAAAAACACAGGCTGCAGACCAATATAAATGGCACAATTCTATTTTTATATGAAAACATTTATTTATGTTAATATGTGTGTACATGCATTGGGAAATGTCAGGAAAGTTGAAATTTTGAAGAAATATGAAATTTGTAGCAAATAGAACTGGAAGTTTACAGAGATGTTTTATTTTTAACTTATATATGTTTTTAAGTTTTAATATTGTAAGAGAATTTCTGGCTTTCCAGTTTGATTTCGAGAGGACAGTGAAAACTCAAATGGTAAGGGAGCTAATGTTAATTTTCAGAAATATGTATTTTTGATTACAAAAGTGATAGGCATGTTTTATTAGAAATGAGCAGAGAAGCAAACAGAGAAAAGTAGAAATCAATTAGAAACTCACCCCTCTGGTATAAACACTGCTAACATTCATTTTACTTTCTTCTAGTATTTTCTTCAGAGTTGAATATACTATCTAATTGAAATCTTCATCTCTTCCCAGTTCCTGGATCAGTTACTTCTGTCTATCCCTATACATATTCTGATCTTAATTTTAACCTTCAATGTTACTTTGTATTATTTCTGTGTATAACTCAGTGTGGCTTTGAAGAATTAAATATATAAGCTGAGGTGAGCCATGTCATGGCTTATCAGCACAGCAAAATAGGGAGAAATTGACCTTGAGGAACAGGACTTGAAGAATTAAATACATAAGCTGAGGTGAGACATGTCATGGCTTATCAGCACAGCAAAATAAGAAGAAATTGACCTTGAGGAACAGGACAATCTAGCTCCGGAATGGATGAAGCTCAATACACCCACTCAAACGTAAGAAGGGGACCGCAATCCAGAAGGGGAAGAGAGGTGAGGTTAGGTGGCTCTTAACACTGAGAAGTAAAAATTTACTGGGATTGCCTCTCTGGCTTCTCTTGTGTATACCACTTCCTTTTTTGTTGTTGTTGGAAATCTAAGGTAGAGCCAGGTAATTTGCATGCTGACTTGGAGGAAAGCCTCTGGGTATTGGTGGTTTTTCTGACAGCCCAAAGGGAAGGCTGAAATCCGATCAACTTCCTGAAGACCCAGCAACTTATGGTTAGTGGCAGCTCATCCCACGCCACATCATCTCATTACCCGGGGTTTAGCAGCCTCGACATCAAGGTACTGTGGATTGTGTTTAGGCCAGGGGGTTTACGCAGTAGGCGCATGCTTTGTACAGTATGGAAATCTCCCCACCCTCGCATCCTGCCTGCTTCATCTTGCCCTCCCAGGTGCTTGAAAAGGCTATAAATAGCTGCCCTCTTGCCTCGCTTTTCAAAATAACCATTGAATTAACCCCCCCCCCAGAAATAGTTAGATTTCAACCATCTATGATCTTGCACAGCTGCATACACTCAACACATCACCTGCAGTGTTCTCACTATCTAGAATGAAATCTTTGTAACCAGTGGCCAACATGATGGAACGTTTATAGCTGATTTGAAATATGGCAATAAGAACTATTGGGCCACCTTTCGCTCCTCTTGTTCAGAGTGGCTCCTCCTTGTAGTTATTTGTCCTCCTCTTTTCTGTCCCTGCCCCTTCGTGTGTGTCTGTTCTCCATTAGATTGCAGACTCTTGGAAGTGAGGGTCATGGCTTATACTTCCACTGTCAAATTCTTCATTAAGGAAAATAGAAAAAGAAACCCCAAACTTTGTAAATAAGGCAAAAAGCAGGCAACACGTACTTTTTCACTAGTATACTCGAGTGAAAGCTCTAATGGACCCCGCCCCCACAGGACTATTTAATTATTGAAGAGAATGAAGGAAGAACATGAGATGTGATCTATGAGTTTGGGCAGCTTTAGCAACATATCTATTTATGAGTTTTCTGGGCTTGGCCCCAGCAGGAGAACCCTGAATGAGACACTTTATCCTGAGCTTGTTTCCTCACCATAAAATGCTTTTTCCTTTCTTTTTAAAAAATTCTTTTTGGCAAATGTTTTGAGAATGATGAGGGCAACAAATGTGCTTGACACAATGGATGGATGGACGGATTGTGATAAGAGCTGTACTAGCCCTGAATAAAATTATTTTAAAAAAATTCTTTTTGTGGTTGTTAGATGCTATAGGGTTGGTAATGACCCATAGCCGCTCTGTGCGCAACAGAAAGGGGCACTGCTAGGTCCTGCACCAACCTCGAGTCAGTTCTACATTTGCACCCATTGTTGCGGCCATTATGTCCTTCCACCTGTTTCCCGCTGCCCCTCTACCAAGCATCGTGTCCTTTCCTAGGGACTGATCTCTCCTGGGGGAGTGAAATGTCTTCATTTGGCTCTTCTTTCTCTGCAACTCCCATCAAAGGACTGGGTGAGACTTTGCAAATAGGGTGCATGTAACACTAATGGAAGGGATTGGTCAGTTTTGGTTATCACACCTCTGGCTATAGGATAAACCTTCTTTAAAGCAGAGAGAGGGAGCAATCTCAGGACCATTGAAAGAAGTGCCACCAGTGCCGAATGCGAGAGAGAGCTGCTGGAAGTGGTAGAGGCCTGGAGAGACTAGAGGCCCCTGAGGCTGAGCAAAGGAGACCAGGAGACAGGACAGAGGAGCAGCACCTGGACCATCAGTCTGTGAGACAGCGAAGCAAACTCGCTTCCTGGCCCACGCAGGCAGAAGCTAAGAGACCACAGACCGAGGGACTTAAAACTAGAGAGTCTTAATTACTGGACAAAAAAAAGTGCTATTTGGGATTAGTGACTGTATTCTTAATGTTTTTGATCCTATTTTTTAAAAATCATTTCATTGGGGGCTCATACAACTCTTATCACAAGCCATCCATCCATCCATTGTGTCATTTGTTACCATCATCATTTTCAAAACATTTGCTTTCTACTTGAGCCCTTGGTATCAGCTCCTCATTTCCCCCCTTCCTTCCTGCCCTCCTCCCTCATAAACTCTTGATACTTTATAAATTATTATTATTTTGTCATGTCTTACACTGTCCGAGTTTCTGATCCTATTAACTTTTCTAAGTCCCTCACAGTGATGAGTATTATCTGTGAGTTCTGTGTGGCCACGGTAAGGAATTAGCAAGCCTAGCAGAGAAGCAGAGTGTAAAGAATTATTAAGCCCAGCGGAGAAGTAAAGTGCTTTGGGAGGAAAGGTTGGGCTCAGAACAGAGAAAGGAGGATGGGGGTGGCAGCGTGTCTGTCCTCTGCCTTGTGCCAGGGGCGGCGGACATGGCCCTCTGCCCCCCAGATCTTAAGTATGTGATTCTAAGGAGCATTCTAGTTGTTCTTTATTTTAAGACAAATTTGATGATTTTTTTCTGGCAGTCCATGGTACTTTAAATGTTTTTGACCAACATCAGAATTCAAAGACATCAATTTTTTGGTCTTCCTTATTCGTTGTCCAGTTTCCACTTAAGTAGTGACTGAAAATACTAGGGCTGGTGTCAGGTACATCCTAGACCACCAAGTGACATCTTTGCTTTTTAACGCTTCAAAGGTTTATAAAAATATATTTTAAAAATGTTTTATGCACCTCCGTGAAATGTGAATATGGTGGGAAAACCGCTGTGAGGCTGTAAAGCACAGTGCCAATGGAACTCTGGCTCTGATATGCCCCAGGAGCCTTTGGGCCCCTCAATGCCAGCTCCTTCAGCATGCCTGCGGCCCTGTGCTGTGTGGTGGGGCCAGGGAGAGCGGCGCATGCTGCCCTGGGCACCAGCCCTGCTTGTAACATGCCCGTCACTTACTCCCAGCAGTGTCTTCCCAGGAAGTAATTCTGCAGGCTTTTCAAGACGATTTTCAGGCCTCTGCAGGAAGAGTCTTCCTGCAGGGGTGTCTGGAGCAACAGTCGCAAAGCTAGAAACAACTCAGACAAAAGCCAGAGGGCTTCATAAGGTATGCATCCCAACATAATGATGGAAAGAATATCCAGTCCCCCCCCACCCTACACCTGGCAGGGTCAGCCTGTCCCCTCTGGGTTTGGGAGGAGGCTGGTGGCTGACCAGAGGAGGTGCCTAGTTGGAGAGTAAGACAGAGGGGTATGTGATGGTGACGGGTCACAAAGGACAGTGGAGGATAAATGCAGAGGTACAAGGAGATTCAGGCAGAAGCCCTGGAGGGAGATGGGCAGTAGCTTTTGCTCTCTCTCTCTCTCCTGGGGACACGATTTGTGGCTGGCTGAGCTGTCTTGAAAGAAGAGAACCATGAGCAACGAATATGTGTTGCCTTATTACACCTCCCACAGCTACCGTTCAACGGGTGTGTTTAATACCTCCATGGGGGACCTGCAACGACAACTGCACAGAGGAGGAGAGTACGACATTTTCAAATATGCTCCAATGTTTGAGAGTGACTTTATCCAGATCAGCAAAAAAGGAGAGGTGATTGACGTTCACAACCGCGTCCGTATGGTGACCGTGGGCATCGCGTCCACCAGCCCCATCCTCCCCCTGCCTGACGTCATGCTGCTGGCCCGGCCAACCAAGGACTCTGAAGAACGTGTTGGGTATGGCCGGCCCACCAATGTGAGGGGCCGAAAGGTCCCGAAGAGCCTGGAGCTCACCAGGCTCCTTCCCTTAAAGTTTGTCAAAATCTCTATCCATGATCGTGAGAAGCAGCAGCTGCGCCTGAAACTTGCCACTGGCCGTACGTTCTATCTGCAGCTGTGCCCTTCTTCAGATGCACGAGAAGACCTCTTTTGCTACTGGGAAAAGCTCATTTATCTCCTGAGACCACCAGTGGACAGCTATGCCAGCACCCCGACCATCCAAACGGGAGACCTAACAGCCACCTCTATCCTGACCGACGATGACAAAAGCGTCACGGTGAGCCTTTAGGGAAAAGGCAACAACCAGGGGGCGGGTGCCTTGGGAGAGAGAGCACTTGGGCGCTGGCCTTGCCAAGCCTGGGGTGCTCTCGGAGGTTCCACTGAGCAATGTGTGGCATTGGGAAAGGGCTCAGGGCCAAATAGGACTCTGGATGAGGCAGATGGTCTGCCCTCAACTCCTAGCCCTAAACGGAGTCCTGATGGAGTGTAAGTTAGCATTCATTTGGTGGTTAATGGCCAGAAATACTACTGCACAGTACCCAAACCACAACTTCTGGTGTCTGCTGGGACTGGATCGGAGACTTGTTTTACCACTTGAAAGCTTTGTGTCTGAATGCCATACTACATACTAGCCCTGGTAGCACAGTGAATTAAGCATAGGACTACTAACTGCAAGGCCAGTGGTTCAAACCCAGAGCAGTCAGCAGTCACTCCTCGGGGGAAGAGGATGCTGTCTGCTTCTGTAAAGATGTACAGCCTCAGAAATCCCCGGGGACAGTTCTACTCTCTCCTATGGGGTCAGGATGAGTTGGATGCCAATGGACTCAATGGGTAGTGGGCTTGGAGGGTTTGGGGTACTAACCCTAAGGTTAAGGCTCCCTGGTGGTGGTGTGGGTCATGAGGTGGGTTGCTAACCATAAGGTCAGCAACTCAAAATCACCAGCCAATTGGGTGGGGTGGGAGTGGGGGTGGATGTATTCTATGATGAGGTTCTCTACTCCTGTAAGAGTTCTCATCATCCATAGGGATAGTTCTACCCTAACCTATAGGGTCACTATGAATCAGAATTGACTCAATGGTTGTGAAGCTTTAGTTGCGTGAACAAGGAAGTTGGCAATGGCATCCCATTCAGCAATGCCATCAAGAGCTTGGCAAGCCACAGGTCCTAAAGATTGCCGCCAGGAAAACTCTATGGAGCAGTTCTACTCGGGAACACATGGGATTGCCATGTGGTGCAATTGACTTAGCTATGGCAATGGATTTTCATTTTAGGGCCAAACGAGGCACCGCTAAGGCACTTCCTGAGTGCTTCTCCACTGTGTTCCACAAGGTTGATTTCTGGGTGTCAGCTGCTCTCATCCCAATGGCTCACTCCCAGGTCTGTAATCTCTTTGACAGCACCCTGATCATCCAATCTGTTTGAACAATTACGTTCCCAGCCTAAGAGGCTCGTCTATTCTGAACCATTAACAATGAGGAAGGCCTTTCTTCATTCAAGCTGTGGTCTGTCTTCTGGTGATGGCCACATGCTGAGTTTTAGGAAAATCAGTAAAATATGTGCACAGACAAGTCATTGCCCATGTATAAGAACCCTAGTGGTGTAGTGCTCACACACTGGGCAGCTAACCATAAGGTCAGCAGTTTGAAACCACTAGTAATTCTGTGAGAGAAAGATGAGACTCTCTACTCCCATAAAGAGTTACAATCTCAAACTCACAGGGGGCAGTTCTACTCTGTCCTACAGGGTCGAAAGGAGTCAGAATCAACTTGATGACAGTGGATTTGGTTTTTGAGTTAAAAATAAATTTAAGAGCCACACAAATGTAAAATCTGTAGCTCTTTGGACTTAGCCATCCTACTGTTAAGACTAGATCTTGCCGAGAGATCAAGCACAAGTGTGTAAGATACAAGTGTCTGAGGACGGAAACTGGATGAGCGCTTCCCCCATCATCAGCATTGGCCATGCAATAGGCCAGGAAGGGTGCCTGAGTCTTGCCTCAAATGGGAACTTTAGCTTGGTGATCTCAAAAGTTCTTTTAATGTTAAGTCTTTGAATTGCTCAGCTCCAGGGTGCACAGAGCAGCAAGCAATTCAGGTCTTACATTCTATCTTCTCCAACTCAACTGGCTTTTTCCCTCCCATTGGCCCAGGCTACAGAGCTCCGTGGAGAAGGGGATCGGAATGAGGTCAGGCTTCGCAAGTTCCGAGAGGTATCTGGAGCCACTTCTTCTGCTTATGCTGGGGGCGAGGGCATCCAACAAGCCTTCCCTGGAATGACACGCACAGCTTCTACAGCCACAAAATCTCCAGCACCTGCCAAAGGAGCAGCACTGGCAGGGGCATTAGCAGGAAAAGCTGTAGGCCTAGCAGCAGGGCCAGCCATGGCAGGGGCAGCAGCAGGGTCCACGGCAGGGGCAGGCGTGGCAGGGGCCGCAACAGGGCCCACGGCAGGGGCAACCATGGCAGGGGCTGCAGCAGGGTCCACAGCAGGGGCAGCCATGGCAGGGGCAGCAACAGGGTCCAGCACTGGGGTAGCACTAGCAGGGACAACTGCAGGTCGTACAGCAAGCACTATGAGTGTTGCAATGACTAAGTCTGCAGGCCCAGGGCAGACAAACCTGGCCCTGGCAGGAGTGGCCACCAAGCCTCCAGGAGAAGGTGGATCGGGCAAGGCCATTGCAGGCGCTGCCAACATGTCCTCCGAGGGCCTGAATGTGGCCTTGGTGGGTGCAGCAAGCACAGGTAGTTCCACCCTATCAGCTGGGACGATGAATTACTCCCCAGATAACAACATGAGTGTAGTATTTGCAGGAGTGGCAAATACCAAAAAGCCTGCCCCAGAAGGCTTGGCTGGACCCCCTGCCCCAACCTTGCAGGATATCTTCGTGAGTGAACAGAACAAAAGCCAGAAGGTCTCCCAGCCCCGCACCGAAGCCCACAAGGAAAAAAAGGAAAGGAGATCAAGGAAAGACAAAAACCCAAATCCCAGTAGGAAAAGTTCCCAGCACCAGAGGACAGGTGGGGACAAACCAATCCGGAAACCATCCTCCCACCGGTCCTTAGCCAGCCATGGCACCACAAAAGAGGGCAAAAAAGAAAGGGGGCACAGGGCCCCAAAGGGCAAAGGACACAGGCCCTCCTCTCACAAAAACATCAGCCGCAGTCCCACACCAAAGGAGTCTAGAACAACCCAAAAATCAGGGCGGACCCGGTCTGCAACCAGCTCAACTTCTATAAACAAGAAATCCAGCAAGATTGGCTCTTTTTTCAAGAGCTTCAAACCTCTGCCTGCTTCAAGAGCTTTAACGGCATCCCACGAAAGAGGGGTGGACATCATGGCCAAGTCTGTGGAGAGGCACAACCTTGAGGCCAAGATGGAGAAAGCCCAGGGTGGCAAGGACTTGGAGCTCACCAGCACCATGACATCACAGACCACAGAGACGATCATCTTTGAATCCAAATGCCTTTAAATAGCCACCAAACCGCAGGAAGCTGTGAAGCTGTGCTGGAGAACAGGGCTTAGGGATGGATCCCCAGTGAGCCAATTTCAGCTTGTGTTCCTGCTGTTTAAATAAATAACAAAAGCTACACAACACCAAACCAAATGCTATCTTGCTTGGTTTTCTATGTCCCGCAGCTGGGTAGTGATCTCACAGCCACTTCTGTGATGTCAGCCAAGCAGAGTCTCATCTCTCACCCAAGCTCAGCAGAGCCCATGTTGGGTGGAGCTTAGGTCCCACCATCAGCATCCCTGAAGGTCCATGAACGTGGACCTTCAGGCCAGTCCACAGATTACACACACAGGACTCATGCCCCTCGGAGGGGACTGAGCGAAGGGAGGAGGGAGCTTAGCCCTATTTGTGGGTGACTAGAACAGCAGAGTCTGCCATTCACCACAAAGAGCTGCTGTCCACTGATTTTTGTAAAAGTTCTTCGGGTAACAGCTATTCTCATTAACATATTTCTCTGGCTGTTTCCACACAAAACAGGACAGAGTTTGTTAGTTGCCGTAGAGGCTGCGTGGTCTGCAGAACTTGAAATACTTATTACCTGACCCATTACAGAAGTTTATTGACCTCTGATCTAGTCATCTTAGCAAATGTTCTTAGCAGCTAAGAAAAGGTTTATTGTGAAACAACTTGTACTATCAAAATGCAGGAACCAGCCCAGATAGTCACCAAACAGGAGAACCGATCAATTGTGGTGTAGGCACCCAGCACATGCCACATAACAGAGAAAGCGACTATCAGCTGTATGTGTGCACATGTTAGCATGGGGGACTCAGATAATGGAAATGAAAGCACAATAGGTATACTTGGGTCCATGTTAGTTACATGTGTGAAGAAAAACTAGGGGGGATAAAATTCACTACAGCTCAAGGGTGGAAATAAACGAGACGATGAGAAAGGGTTCAGCACACGAGACTTGTTCTGTTTCTTAAAGAAAAGCATGTCCGTGGGAGGTTATTCATGTGTTTAATTCTTTTTAGCATCTCTGAAATCATGATCATTTTAAAATCACTGTCAGCCAGGTGGCATTTGTGATATCATTGTCACTGCCTTTGAAACACTTTGCCAGTTTCAGAAATGTACTTCCCCTCCATATAAAACACAAGCGGTATGTGACACATATCTAAGTCTAAACGTCTCTTTCAATAAGTACAATTCTAAGTGACAGAAAAAAGAACATTCAGAAATGTTTAGGAATATTGGTAAGAAAATCGAATAACCCCATATAGTGAGCACAAATCAATTATGTAAAAAAAAGAAAGAAAAGTGTGCATAAGGACGCTTTGGAAATGGGATTATAAAATTTAAAATATTTATTATAACATTATACATGGTTGTGGGAAACTACGGACTAGGAAAAGAGTGTGTGTGGACGAATTCTTAATTCTCATATTTAAGAAGCCTGGTAGGCCAGGATTCTGGATTCTGGGTGAAGGGAGGCCTTCACACTTGTGAGTTAGAGATAAATTCCAATCACATTCTCGTAACCAAACGAATCCCCACAATATTACAAGGACACAGCTGGTTGCTCTCTGGCCGGCAGTCTTATGTATAGGAGTAGGCACGTTGCTATGGCTCTCCTTGCTCAGGGGACAGTCGTTCCCCCTTACCTGCCCCAGCAGTGGTGTTAGGTTACTCCTCCAATGAACTCAGGGACCTTTAGAGTTAGGCTACAGTTCACTTTGTTAAATATGTGGTTGCCTGCAATTAGGGGCTTACATACCCTGAGACTCTATAACTTGATTTTAAGAATATATTATGTCTCTCTGCTTGGACCTGGCTCCTGAAGCCATCGTGGAGGTAAGCACCCCAAAACTTTCATCTGGCTCTTAATTTCTTCCCTGCAATTATACAACCGTCCCTTAGGACCCATCCAGATGTGAGGCTGGATCTAACACATCACCTCTTCGATTTAAAAATGTTATACATTTCACAAGTCTCTAAAAGTCATTAAATTTTTAATAGCTGATGATAAAACTTGGACTTGAGAAAAGATTCTAAGAACTGTGCGTGTTTGTATGAATTCAGATGGCACCTGTACAGCCTTTTAATTCTTTGTTCACTTCTGTGCAAATGGCATCTATTCGAACAGGTATTGGGTTTAGAGTAAAACTTAAGGACCGTCTTCACAGACCAAATGTATGTGGCAGAGGTGGAGGATGTGACAAATGGGATCCTCTCACTTTTGATGGCTTCAGCTAAGGGTAGTCCTTTTCCAGATGTTCTGGTGGGTGGCTGAAAATCCCCACATTGTGATTTCTGTAATACCAAGCCCAATAAATCCTGCAGATCTGACTGCTCTTGGAGTTGACTATTGAAATAGTGGGTATAAGAAGAGGGAAAGGTACGTAAGCTAAAGACAAATGGGTACATAAGCAAATGTGGTGAAGAAAGCTGATGGTGCCCAGCTATCAAAAGATATAGCAACTGGGGTCTTAAAGGCTTGAAGGCAGACAAGTGGCCATCTAGCTGAGAAGCAACAAAGCCCACATGGAAGAAGCACCCCAGTCTGTGTGATCATGAGGTGTCGACTGGATCAGGTATCAGGCATCAAAGACCCAGAATAATCATGTCAATGTGAATGGGAAGGAGGGGGTGATAGAGCAGAGTGGAGCCCCAAAGCCCATCTGTAGACAATTGGTTGTGCATCCCCTTACAGAAGTGTCGTGGGGAGGAGACGAGCCAGTCAGGGTGTAGCATAGCACCGATGAAACATACCGCTTTCCTCTGCTTCTTTAATGCTTCCTCATCTCCACTATCCACTATCACCTAATTCTATCTTACAAATCTGGCTAGACCAGAGAATGTACATGGTTACAGGGAATATAGGATAGATAAACTCCTTGGGACCAATACTGAGAGTAGCGATATGAGGAGGTTAAGGGGAAGGGGGGGAGAAAGGGGGAACCGATCACAATGACCTACTATAACCCCCTCTCAGGGGGATGGACAACAGATAAGGGGGTAAAGGGAGACATCAGACAGTGTAAGACATGGAAAAATAATAATTTATAAATTATCCAGGGTTCATGAAAGAGGGAGGGAAGGGAAACCCAAGGAGCTGATATCAAGGGCCCAAGTAGTAAGAGAAGTTTGGGGAATGATGATGGCAACAAATGTACAAATGTGCTTGACACAATGGATTGTGACAAGAGTTGGACGAGCCCCCCCATAAAATGATTTATAAAAATAAAAGAAGAGGGAAAGGAAGCATGTTATGGATTGAACTAAGTCCTCCCCAAAGATACACTGAAGTCCTAACCCTTGTTTAGAAACTGAGTCTTTTCAGATGTCATCAGTTAACCTGAGTTCATACTGGGTAGAGTGAGTGCTAATCCAATTTGGGTGACACACACAGAGGAAGGATGGCTGCATGAAGAGACCAACCACGGGATACCTGGAGCTCCCAGAAGCTGGGAGAGACAAGAAAGACCTCCTGGAGACTTCAGAGGGAGCATGACCCTGGTGCCCACACTCATTTGGACTACTAGCCTGCAGAACGGGAGACAGTACATGCCTATTGCTTACTGTCACCCACTCTGGAATGCTTGGCTAAGGCAGCCGTACCAAATTTTCCCAGCATTCCCATGCAGGTCCTCAAAGCTCTAAGGTGGCCTTTGGGGAAGCCACTTGGGAATGTGAGTGGTAGGCAGCATATGAGCTAGAGAAGAGTAGCAAAAAAGGCCTTTGACCTAGGGTCCCAAATTCATGGCTACATCAGACGCTGTTATATGAATCATCCCAGCTACAAACAGCTTAATCTGATTCACGATTTTGCAGGCCTTGCCTCATCTTACGTTACGCTTTCTCCACTCCCCATCCTAAAAGGGTCTTCGGTGTCAAGCTACTTTATTCTGCCACCTTGGGCATCCATAACCAGACCTACATCAGACAGAAATCAGCGGGAGTGGGGACTTGCCCACCTCACAGCGCTCCCTCATGTGCTTTCTCTGCATTTCCTTTCTTGACCTTAACAGTTTATCTAGAAACACAGGCATACATACTTACATGTTTCAGAGCAACACACTTTTTTCCTTCTGAGGGAGTATCATTTGGGGCATCAAGTCAATACACACTATCAGATAAAGGTCAATATTTTTAACAACATTTATCACTATGGTAACAATTCTGCGCTCAAAATGCAATGGAGGTCTGGATGGTGGCCTGATTACTAACCTGTGCCCCAAACATAAAGTCTGACTTTCCTAGCATATAAAAAGAGAGAGAGAACAAGGGGGAATTTTTTTTTTTTTTTGCCAAGAGCACAAGAAGATAGCTAATTGGGTTGGGGTGATGAAAGTGAGTCTTGAAGACAGTAGGAATGTATGCTATGGTGGGAAGCAGTAAACTCCCTCAAAATATTGGCTAGCCCTGGCTTGGCTGGCCAGTCCTCTTATGGCTGGCAGCACAAGAGTGGTAAGAACAGACTATAGAGGGCATTGGGGGGAGAGAGATAGTCCTGCAGGGCTTTGAGGTCCACATGAGATTCTGACTGTTGTTCTTAGAGTAATGGGAAGCCCCTGAAATATTTTAAGTAGTGGAGTGACTTGCTTAGGCTTACCCTTTGCAAAGGCCATTCTCATTGGGGTGTGGGGAGAAAGATTTGGGACAGAGATTGCTCACATGTGAGATGCAGGATCTCCAAAATGCAAAACTAGAAGATATAAGTTTGAAAAACCCCTCCCATTTGAGATACCCATATAGTTAGCATCAAGGCATCTGCAGGTACTCCTTCAACTAAGGAAACTGTGGCACCAGCTGTTAGCTCTGCCAACAGACAGCCTACAGCTGGAAGTGAGTTACAACAGCGACTGAAGAGATGCCTCGCCCAAGGCGATGCCTTTTCCAGACTAGCCCATAATCAAAAAGTGGTCAATTCCGAAGGGCCGTTCTAGTTCCAGCGTCCCTCACGAGACAGGCATCAAACTCCACCTCTCCCTCTGCACACTCTTGCTTCAGTC